CTCGGGGAAGTGATGGGTTTCTACAGCGATCAATATAAACCACAAATTTGAGCACCCCGCAAACAGGAAGTTGTAATGTATGCACACTCAAATTAAAAAGGCGATGCGTATTCGGAATATGGTCGTCATATCGAAGCAGCAGTTGCTGCGATGTTAGGTATTAGACCCATGTAAACATGGGAGGACTCCCACAACTCCAAGTTATGAAGATCCTCATTACAGTCTTCTACGATGTTGAATCATGTGGTCTGGTATAAATGTACTAACGTTTCGGAGATACTTACTGCCTCCATCATCAGGGCAATGATAAACGGTGAATAGTTAATGCATTGGAAATCCTAATGTGTTCATAGTCTGTAACGCCATTCCCAAACAGCCTGAATCTTGTCTTACCACTGACCTGCAATGAGCTGAAGAGTTCCTGCAACCCTGGCTGTGCCGGTGTGAACCACGTACGTAATGCAGCACGCAGCCGTTGCAGTAATGGCTACCAGGAGGCTGAGGGCACTGCCCACCCCTACGAGTACAGTGCTAGCCTGCCACCAGGGGCTCGGGATGTCCCAGAACCTGCAATAAACGTGTCTATTAGTATTTCATGAAACAAGCATCGGTATAAAAAAGCACCACCATGAGCTTTCAACCGAGTTAATTGCAAATAGTAAAGCGTATATTATTAGTTTCGACATGTCTGTCGTCTGTTCCTCGTCCGTCAACCCACATGAAATAAGTCGAGATCGGCTGAACGGCTCTCATAAAATTTCATCCATTCACACACAGAAGAAGGCAATGGCAAACCACTTCTGGATCATCTGCCAAGAACGTATATGAACAGGTCCCAGTCCGAGAAAAGGATGGAAGGATCCTGTTCATATCGACCTGTCGTCAGACAGAACACTAAAATAATAATAATAAATAATAATAAGGTCTTAGATATCCAAAAGTTTCAATTGACTTCAGCTATATTTTGCACAAGCCACTTATTCCTTGAACATTGTTTAAGAACACAGAAAGATTGAAAGGAAATGGTAACAGATGTGTTTGTGATCACTTCTACAAGCGTTATCAACATAATGCTATAATAGAAAAGTGACCACTTACGGCAATGTGCCTGAAAAAGTGTGGCCTAGAACCGAACCCGGGATCCCACGAATACAAACAAGAATTTTATCCCGGGCACACAGTAGAGTTTATAACGGAAATCCTCTTCCCGTCGCTCGTGTCTACTACAGCAGGCAGCGCTGAACAGCCCCAAGCCAACAGAACGCCGTGCTCGGGCGACCACTTCTCCGACACATTCGTGTCGCGTGTAATCTAAACACATCGCTACAGGCGTTGCTGTGCAAGCTTCCTTCGAATTCGACATACTGCGAGAGCTTTGTGTCAGGCACACAGCCAGTCATAAATCTCAGAAATAGCAGGTTGTGTTGTGACAATTTTTTTTAAAATAATATCTAATGTTCTGAACTTCTTCAATCATATCCCATTTCGTCTGAAAGAATTCGTCTTCGGCAAAGCTTATATCGCATATTGTTCGGAGCTACTATTCGTTTAGATTTTGCACCCTCATAGCAACCAAAGAAAAGCTCGATTCGAATATACGAATGAACAGAACACGAAATTACATTCATACCAAATCCCAAAAAAAATACTCAAAATCTTCAAAAAGTTCCGATATTTGTCTTTTGGTTAGTAACGCCGTGTAGTGGGTAGACACCACCGTTTTGTATGAACTTACTGCATCCATTTTCAGTGCTGAAATCTTCGGAAAATCGATGATTCAAGTAGGGACTGTTTAGCAGGCAAAACCACAGACTCGAATAGCCTCATTAAGAACAAACATATTCCAGGACCCGAGAAGAAGCTCACTAATATGGGATTACAGACTGTTACACGAGGCTGCCTGAGTTTTAGATTAATTATTTGGATATACAGGACAGGAGAATGACTTTTACGAATTGCAGACATTGCAGCAGGGTTTTCTACCAAAGTTAAGACATTTAGCAGAGGCAATAAAAAATAAGTTAATTTAAAAAGAAGACATTAAAACTACATTCAATTTACCATTCAGTATCCTTTGTTATCTTCGTAGAAGAATCTTTCGGATGACAGGGCCCAGTAGCGACCTTTTTTAACACAGCAATGAATCTTGTGGTTCCATAAAAGGCGGAGAATTTCTTGGCTAACTGAGCAAGTACCAGCTTCTCAAAACCGTCATTGCTCCAGAGAGTCGGTTCATAACACCAACCAGGGATGACACTGTCTCCTTGCTGCACAGACATTATTTTTAATATTCGTGTCTACAAAAACTCCGCCCTGCATCCAGATCTTTTCATAATGGAGATTGGTTATGCACGGGCTCAGCTGCTTTGTCGCTCAAGCCTTTTCGTTCTCTGCGGAGGATTCTTCTCACCCTCTAACCCATTATGTCTGTTACAGTGGCTCCACTTAAAATCTTTTAACAGCATTAAATGTGCAGCCTTAACAAAACTTGCGTTGGTGATGGGAGAGTTAAGTGCCCCCAAGGTGATTATACTGAGCCGCCTAGTTGATGGGGAAGCACGCGCCCTTAGGAGCGCTGTGACACGCGGGGTCAAACTCCCATCGCAAACGATAGCGCACACGGCTGTCATTCTGGAGGTACGAGACTCGAATCCCGAGCAAGCCTTACTTCCGAAAATAAATTCTGGGGCGTTTTAAAGAATCTATGGTCATTTTCCTGGCCTTGTAATCCTGGGGTCTCGGGTTCGATTCCCGGAGGTGCCCGAATTTATAACTTGTGTTGGGCAAGGCCATGGTCTAGGCAACACGGAGTTTTCCTCCGTGGCATCCCAACAATTACTCCATTCACACACAGAAGAAGGCAATGGCAAACCACTTCTGGATCATCTGCCAAGAACGTATATGAACAGGTCCCAGTCCGAGAAAAGGATGGAAGGATCCTGTTCATATGGACCTGTCGTCAGACAGAACACTAAATAAAAAAAAATCCCTCGAGACTCAACATACCTTATTCTATTACACCTAATTTGATTCTTTTGTACGACATCGCTTGATGGTGGACCTTAAACAGCAAAAACTAACAAATAACTCAAAGATGAACGTCTTCTGGGATTTTTCTCCTTGTCTAAAAGAATTATAGTGACTAAGACTAAATGTTCTGCGCGCCACATGCGCGTAAAGCATTTGGTTAGAAACCTTGAAGAAAACATAAACGTCAGAAGACCTATGCATAAATGTCAGGATAATATTAAAACTGATCTTTGGAAAAGGCTGTGTGGAGTGAGGACTGGTATCATCTGGTTCAGGACATGGCCTGGTGAATCGCTCGTGAACACGGTAATGGAATATTTTTTACTACTATTAACTTCTCAAGAAAGATTCTGTTCCACGTAATTAATTACGATATTTATCAATTTCTAAATTTAGTCATTCTTATACAACTGTGAGACTATATACTGCTATAATTATTATTATTATTAATGTTATAAAAATTTATTCAGTAAAAACATAATTAATGGTGGTGGTCTCATGACTCCACTGGTCCAGGGAACTTCAAAAGTCATTTAACTTTGTTCCAGTCGTGAGTCTGGAGACAGGGATGATAAATAATGAAAAACAATGACAAGATTTACTTATCGCGTAACTATGAAAACTAGCAAAATGCAATCAGAAGAATGTCACGAACAAGGAATGAAGAAGAATAGATAAAGAAAGATGAAATGAATCAGAGGTTCAGAGAACAGACAAAAAAAAACAATACGACATACTAAACTTTTTCGTTTTAAAAAGCGCAAAGTACAGAAACATCATCTAGCGTACAAATGATACCATAAAAATCCCCACTACACATGTACACATAAAACAAAAATAAAGCTAAAAATATTTTAGCTGAAAAAAGTTAATATACATTAAACTTACAAACAACTTGTAGGGGAAAAAAAAAATTAACCGTGATATGCATTCTTTACAGTCTGCACCAAAATATTATTTTCTATGAGAACGCGCCGTCTGGACTGGGAATACTAGCAAAATTTTTATCGTCAATTTTCAGACTCAAGCACTACATAATAATCTATTAAAAGTTCAGTCCCTCATCTATTTCTGTACAACAATTATAAGTTAAGTCACCTAAATTCCGGGAACTATGTAACCTTGCAAGATAAAATTTCGTCCTTTTGTAATATTCTTCCTGTAATTTTATCAGGAATTTACAATTTATTCACACTTTATCATGTATGCTGTTAATCAACAGTCGTTAAACAGGTAAAATTTCAGGTTCTCACGGCAGCGAATATGAATTTGACTATCTTATGAGATATGACGTGTCGTTTAGTAGAAATTGGTCCTGATGATGGAGGATGTAAGCACCTCCGAAATGCCGGTCAATTTCTACGGCGCAACACCCCTTAGACAGTCATGATCGAAACGAGCTTGGTCAAGCGTTTATCCCCTTCTGGAGAGCGCGAAATGAGCTGGTCCAATATCCCAGCGAAAGGTCCGTGGATCACATTTCCGTTCGGCAGGCCAGACTTGACTTGACTGACACAGCGTATCTCGTCCTCCGTGTGTGATGATGATGACGGACGGACGGACGGACGCCAGCCCGAAACGGAAATTCTATCCTGTCAAATTGAGCAAATCAATCAAGTGCTGCAGTGCGGTTGGGATATTCTATTTCAGATTCTGATTTAGACATTCCGTAGATTCCCGGGGTTTTATTTTCATTTTTCGCACTAAATACACACACACACTAACCCACAATGAACAGAGAGCCCTTCTTGAAAAGCTGACAGTCGTCAGTCTACGACGAAATTCACCTCCCTTTATGGTACCTTCAGAATCTTGAGTCAGAAGAATCCAGTACACAACTTCACATCCTAGTTAACAGCCTATATAATATAATTTACCATCTATGACTATGTCTACCAAGTGGTTCTCTCCTCGTTGTACTTGAGGATAAGCACGTTGAACGAATTGCAAATATAACTTAATGATATTTGCATGCCTCGTCGTCCAAGTGTAATAAATCATTAAACTTGGTGTGTAAATTTTGGGTCTTCCTGTACATGAGCAAAGCATATTGAGGGCAAATGCACCCAGTTTCTATGGTAACGAATATTTATAAAAGCCAAATGACGAAAGTGGTACAGATCATGTCTGCTCTCTATTAGGTCCCCTCTACCGGAGAATAAAGGAACATTCAACCAAGCAGAAAATATGACGAGTAGTGTGGGTTGCGTCACAGGGAACAAGGCTTACACGGTACGTCGCCGGTTCTGAAGCTATGCCTAACTATGAAGACGCTCCACGCCTCTGATGAAGCATCTCCCAAAGTAGCAGTAGCGATCCCCCCAGGGGAACGTAAAACTTTCTTTTGCGAGGGGGGGCAAATGATAAATTTATAACCCAAAAATACTGCTGTGAAGAAGAAACAAGAAAACTACTAACATACAGTTTAACAGAAAAGTGCTTCACATTATTAAATAGAATTATATTATTAAACATAACAATACAATTAATTATTTGGTTTTCCGTCAAATTTACAATGTATTTAAAATAAGATAATT